TATTTTCTTTTGCCAATTTTAGTTTTTTTACTTTTGCTTTATTTAAAATTGTTATGTTGGTTTTTGGAGATTCTTCAAAAGAAGAGTACAAAGCATGTAATATTTCATCATTTTCAATTATGAACGCTATGTCGTTATGCATATTATCATTGAAATTGATGGATGCATCAGAACATGCATCCCAAACCTAATAAAATTTCAAAATCTTATATAGTAAACATTAAATATAAATTATTTTTGATGCAAAATAGACCTGCATATCATTTACTGCTTTCTTTCTTCTAATTTTATCCCACACATTGATATCTTTGAACAATTGAGAAGATCCTTTGTTAATAGCCGATACTCTGTTTGAGTAGTTAGAAAGTTCCTTTTTAGCATATTTTGGACCACCTTCAAGCAGTAAAATTTGCTTATTCGAAAGCCTTGTATCATTTGCTAGAAATCAAAATATTATCAATAAAATATCTAAACTAAAATCAAATACTTTGAGCCAATATCATGCATTATTTACAAGTAGTGTGAGAAAATAAAGTGAAAAAATTTTAGATAAAAATATAATTCAAATTATTTATTAATCAATAAAAGATAAGTATCAAAGTATCACTTATTATGAGAAAAAATATAAATGAAAAAGAAAATATATTTTATTATTTTGACACACAAAACAAATCATATTCCAATAATAAATAAAACTCATTTAATTATGTAATGACATTACGTATTCTTTGCACCAAACATTAGAGTTTATATTTCACCTAACATAATCAAAACATTATTCACATATTTAAGTTGTAATTAAATAATAAACCAACGATAGTTTTTAGTTTAACCTAAAATTACCTAATGCTAAAAGGAATGCTGTGCCAACCATTCCTCCTCCTGCTATTATTATGTCATATTGATTTTTAGTTTCGGCTGTACTGTATTTATGAAAACCATTTTCAATAAAGTATGTCACAGGTTGAATAAAGTTTCTATTATATTTTAAAATGGTATTATATTTTGAAATAGCACCAGCCATTTTTGCGCTATTTGACTACTAGTTTGACAGATGTATACGATGCTGACATCTTCAGCATCATTACATTTGCGTGAGGTTGACAACACTGCTACAAAACGCCATTGAAAACGATTATGTTGGTTGTGTCAGAAACTTCCTCTCAAAATGCAATTCCAAAAACGTTAATTAAACGAAAGTGTAATAACTAAATATTGTATAGTATTTATTAATTTAGAGAAATATAGAATCATTCGATAATATCATTTTATATATATGAAGAAGAAGAAGTCAGTAATATTATATCACACAAGTGTAAGCATATGTGTATTGCTTATTCATGGAGATATGTAAATTGAACATATATAAATGATGTATATATATATATATATTAATTCTACTTATTTGCTTATATCTGAAAATAATGCTTAATATTAAAAATTATTACAAATCATAGCTTGTACATATGAAGAAGGAAGTGACAGTATATATTTATCAAAGACACAAGTGTAAGCATGACGAAGGCATATATATGTGTATGCTTATTCATGGAGGTATGTAAATTGACAATATATAATGATATATATATTAATTCACTTATTTGCATATGATATCTGAAAAATATGCTTAATATTAAAATTATTACAAATCAAGCTTGTACTTCATTCAATTTATATTTTATTATAACATTAAATTTTATATGTTTATTATTTTAAATTTTATTATTTATAATATATAAATCAGACTTGAGTTTTGCTGTGACGTGCATTTTAAAACCAATCAAAGAGCGGCTTGGCCCACTCATTAAGGGTCCTCAGCCAGCCTTGTGGTCTGCGTTGTCCTTGATTCCGATTCGGCGGTCCAACTGCAGTATGCACTCCCCCAACGCTATATCTATTTCCAGCATATTTGTCGTTAACTGTAATTTCTGGATAATCAACCTCACCGGTATTCTCTGTGACAGGTTTATGGAGGAAATCCTGAAAAGTTCCAATAGCTGATTGACCTATATTTTGAAAAACATCAGCAACCGCTTGTCCAGCGCCTTGCAAACCGCCGATAGCGTTCTGACCAGCGTCTTGTAGAGCGTCGACCGCGGTTTGCGAGACGCTCTGCAAGCGCCTACAGAAGACTGACCGACGTCTTGCAGAGCGCTGACTGCGGACTCCTGAATTGGAGCGAATACCGTTTGTGGGCCAGTGTTGAAGACGTTCATGAATAGATTTTCAAACCATCCTGGGCGGTTGGTGACCGGCTCATCGGCGTCTACAACTTCAGGTTCGAAGTTATTATAGTCATAGTCCGAGCTTCCGTGGTTGTTGTTATCTCCATTTCGTTTCCTCCATGACTTCCTTGACCACCGCTACCATGACTTCCCCCTCCATGATGGTTTCCGCCACCGTGGTGGTTTCCTCCTCCATGTATTCCACCCCCATGATTATTACCACCACATGACCGCCAGCACCATATTGACCTCCTCCACCGCAATTGTAAATATAGTTGTGATTGACTGTTACATCAGCAAATAGAAATTTGTGATCAAAATGTCCAAATGTTCGTCACACTGGGCGCTCCCGCCTCCTATTCCTTGAATTTTGAAAATGGGTTAGTAAGGCTTATTTCTATTCATTATTTTGTTCTTTTGAAATTCTTATTGAATTATTATTCTATTACAAATGTCATTATAATAAGACCATTGATCAAGTTGTTGACAATGTTATGTAAAGCATAAAAGAAGTTTGATCAATTGTGCAAATTGTTTTTTGTAATGATTTATTTTTGTGGCTTTTTGCTCAAATTATTTATTATCTCGTAGATACTTAATTTTGTAATTATATAAATAGATTCGTATTACTAATGATAAAAACGCAATATTTTAAGTATTCTCTAACATAGAGGCAATAACTTTAAACCGTTGACTATAATGAAAAATATTATCAAAACAATTTATTTTAATAACATTATCTCATAATTAAATCAATTACTGCAAGGTCTCGGTCTTCTTCGGCGGTTACTATATCGTAACCGTTGGGTCCACTGGGTTGCTTGTAGGAAATGCACAAATACCAACAGCAGCATATGAAAAAAATCTATAAAAACAAACTGCCAAATTATGTTTAAATAATATTATTAACTTAATAAAT